TTCAAAAGTTCAGGTAAAGATGAAGCAGCATTCATCTTTTCAGTCCTGTTTTTTTTACGCTGATACCTTTTATTAGCTGCAGGAGATTTAATATTACGCTTGGCAAACGATAATAACTTCTTTTAATCTCCTCATCATCCTCTGATCGGTTGTGGCAACCTTCTACGTTGCAATAATTTCCCTTATTCTTCGGCATTTTCCACTAACTATAAATTTTCTATACCCACGCACGCTTATTTACAATATTTCCTGTCTCCAAGATGGCAGACTTCCGATCTGTGACGTCAGAAGAATTCAGTCTATAAGAGAATTAGATCGAAGGATGGAATCGATGGGTATAGAACACTTCAAAAGCCACTTGCCATTGAGAACTACAACCAGTACATAGGTGGTGTAGACCAATCAGACCAGCTTAATTCCTACTATTTGTTGTCCCACAGGTCGATGAAATGGTGGAAAAAGGTTTTCTATCACCTACTGATTACAGACGTATCCAATCCATATATACTACACAAGTCCTCTGTAGCACCCAACTGTAAAGTGAAAAGTTTTGAATTTAGACTACAATTAGTACATGGCCTTGTCAGAAGCTACCAACCTTCCTTGATATCACAGCAAGGTCATCCATCAAACACAGTTGATCCACCACACAGATTAAATGGACAATTGCATTATATGGAGAAGATCAATGGAAAACCAGATTGTAGAGTGTGTACAATAAGATCTGCAGAGAAAAAGTACTTACATCGAAAGCAGACCAGACATCAGTGCAAGACCTGTACACCAAAGATCCCATTGTTTGACATACCATGTTTTGAACTTTACCACAGTATAGTAGATTACAAAAGTTATTAGCAGAAGAATTACAATAATACTGAGTAAAGCCTTCAGCGCATTACTGAATAATACCAAGTTTTGTCAAAATCCAGCAAGAATCATGTCTTTTAGTGTTAGAGAGCTAAAATTTGAAAGCGTTTTCAAGAACGAGGCCAATAACTCCTATGAAACATATTTAGATTTTTTTGATTTTCAATAGAGTTCATCCATGGGTGATAATAGACAATTTAATCAAATTTCAAGATTAACAACATCGATGAACTATGGCCGTCTATGGACAGCGATGAAAAAGGATATAACACTAAGTGTTTTCTACATTGACAGTAATTAATTCTATGTCATCAGCACCTTTCAAATCTGAATTCCTTCTATCCCTTAATTCTACGTCATCAGCATCTTTCAAATCTGAATTCCTTCTATCCCTTAATTCTATGTCATCCGCACCTTTCAAATCTGAATTCCCTCTATCTGTAAATTCTATGTCATCAGCATCTTTCAATTCTGAATTCCTTCTTTCTGTTAATTCTACGTCATCAGCATCTTTCAAATCTAAATTCCCTCTATCTGTTAATTCTACGTCATCAGCACCTTTCAATTCTGAATTCCCTCCATCTATTAATTCTATGTCATCATGACCTTTCAATTCTGAAATCCTTCTATCAGTTAATTCTATGTCATCAGCATCTTTCAAATCTAAATTCCCTCTCTCTGTTAATTCATCATCATATGCACCTTTCAATTCTGAATTCCCTCTATCTGTAAATTCTATGTCATCAGCACCTTTCAAATCTGAATTCCCTCCATCTGTTAATTCTACGTCATCAGCATCTTTCAATTCTGAATTCCTTCTATCTGTTAATTCCACGTCATCAGCATCTTTCAAATCTAAATTCCCTCTATCTGTTAATTCTACGTCATCAGCACCTTTCAATTCTGAATTCCCTCCATCTGTTAATTCTATGTCATCAGCACCTTTCAATTCTGAAATCCTTCTATCTGTTAATTCTACGTCATCAGCATCTTTCAAATCTGAATTCCCTCTATCTGTTAATTCTACGTCATCAGCACCTTTCAAGTCTGAATTCCCTCCATCTGTTAATTCTACGTCATCCGCACCTTTCAAATCTGAATTCCCTCCATCTGTTAATTCTACGTCATCCGCACCTTTCAAATCTGAATTCCCTCCATCTGTTAATTCTACGTCATCAGCACCTTTCAAATCTAAATTCCCTCCATCTGTTAATTCTACGTCATCAGCACCTTTCAAATCTGAATTCCCTCTATCTGTAAATTCTTCGTCATCAGCACCTTTCAATTCTGAATTACCTCGATCTGTAAATTCTACGTCATCAGCACCTTTCAATTCTGAATTCCCTCTATCTGTAAATTCTACGTCATCAGCATCTTTCAATTCTGAATTCCCTCTATCTGTAAATTCTTCGTCATTATCTGGCAACTCTACCTTTTCGGTACCCTCTAGGTTTTCTCTTCCAAGCAGTTGAAAATCATGCCCTTCCAAGGCCCATTTGACATCATTCTGAAACTCAATTGCTGTACGGGATAGTTTCTTCTTGTGTAATTTATCTGTAAATGACAAAAAAGAAAAAAAAATTATAACCACAACAATATATATCTGATAGGCATAGATCAGTAGGTCATGTAGTTCGGATATTGTAGGGTTTCTCGAAGTAGTTTAACCAAGTTTAAAAAGAATGCACTACCTGCTGTTTGTTTCCAAAAAAAATTCGAATTTAAAAAAAAAAATCCAATTTCATAGCCTCACTGATATGGACAAATAGCCACACAAGTCCATATTATCTAGATCATCAAGGTCGTGTCAGTTTGGAGTAAAAGTCTGAGGTATGAATTTAACCAAGTTTATAAAGAAAGCAAAAAAAAATCCAATTTCATAGCCTCACTGATTTGGACAAATAGCCACATAAGACCATATTATCTAGATCATCAAGGTCATGTCAGTTTGGAGTAAAATTCTCAGAAATTTAAATTAAATATGAAACATATTAAATTAAATAAATTCCGAAAAATATATAACTAACATGTAAATGGTAAAATAAATGTCATTTAAACAATAACAGACATGCTAACAAGAATTCAATACCTAAACAATCTTGCTCAATTTGTTTTACATTCCCGGGGAAAGGAAAAACATCACATTTTTTCACATCCATGCTGTAATTGGAAACCAAATTTGTGTGGAAAATAATATTATTAATAATAATGATGCACACAGATGAACCAAGCCACAAATCAAATATCCGAAAATTTGTCCATTTAAAACTTTCATAAACGAAACTGAAGTGGATAATCTCACACAATATTTGTCATTCTTTGGTTTACAAAAAACATTTTTTCATAAATTTATCAAAAAAAATACTTACATAGCATTGTCACTCTTCACATTTACAAAACTTTCTCAGGAAAAAATTCTACAATTTTTACAGGCCACATCACACACACACCTTTCAGTTGAGCCCATCCGAACCTAGTTATACATTCCAATAATTAAATCTGTGGGAACTGTGGCAATTATTCATTTCAATC